TAGGTGTGACTTGGAGAACAAGAAAAAGGAATACACTTTCTCTCTCTAGATTTTAGGGTTTTGTTTCTCTTCTAAAGGAGGCTACCACCAGCCTAGATTCCAAGGTCATTCATCAAGGCATATTGGTGATTCCCAAAGGGAAGATAATAATCAAAAAGAAGGAGAAAGGATCTTGCTAAAGGGATCTACAATAAGTGAGAACATTCACTTTAGAGGAAAGTTCAAAAGGTTTATTCAGACCTTTGATGTGAGTATTCAATCTGTTTATTGAATTATGCATCATCTTTTATCTATCTTTGCATAAAACTTGTCTCCATGTAATGAATCAAGATCTATGATTGCAAATCCCTCAAAAAAGTTTTAAAATTTGCACGTTTCCCAACATGAATGTGTTGGACAAAATCGTCAATGTCATTTTTGGGTGTTCATGGGATAGGAACATTTTTTGATGTTCATGACAGGAATGTGAATATTTTCATTTAATTAATTTATCCATGCATTGTTGACATGCTGATTGTGAAGGGTATGGCACTATTGACATGCTGATTGTGAAGGGTATCTGTCGATCATAGACATGTATGACGGTTTGTAGTAGTTCTAGGTTGAAACAGTATCGACCATTTTAACTTACCATTGCATATTTAGTTTGGGTATATGTATATCATGTCTTTTGAGTTCTAATCAAAAGTCTTGTTTTATGGAGTTGGAATTAATAGTTATGTCTTTTAGGTTAACAGACATATCTTTTGGATGTCTCTGCACCTATAGATCATGCCATGTACATAGGCTTTGTGGTCTATACACCAAAAGTTATGCGCGTAGCAAACTCGATTAAAATGTGGGTAATTTTTCTAGAAATAATTACATGACTGGCATAAGATTCCTAATTCATTTTTAGTCTCGAAATTCTTTATTTTATAGCATGTATAAAATTTAAAGCTTAAGATCTGATTAGTGCTTTAATAATTTTTTATAAATATGCCATTTTTCTTGAGTTATCATTACTAGTTAAATATTTTTTTGGGTAAAGTACACTAACACCCCTTGAGGTTTGCTAAAAGGACACACAGATGAAACTTATCACATTTTTGGACAATGACACCCCCTCAAGTTTGATACTTATACCAAAGACACCCCAATGATAATGAATTGACATTTTTGCCATTTGACTTTTATATTGACCAATTTCAATATTGAAATTACCTATCTAACCTCCTCTGCAAACCCATTCTTTCCGCAATGTAAACTGAATACTCTGTATGAGATACTGCCAGTTCTGGAAATTAATATTGGTTATTTTCAGAAGAATTTTGGAATAAAGATTATATAATGAACTTCTACAGATGATGTGTAATTCATAGTAGCAGCATCAGTGAATCACAAATTCAAGCTTGATACAGGGTTTTCTCTTTACCTGGACCTTGCTGTTTGTTTTTTTATTTTAGTGATCACAGTTGTTTTAAGTATTGATGATTAAATTTAGCACGGTTTGTAGTCATAATTGTCATATGTCTCAAATTGCCAAGATTGAAATTGCATGGAAAAAGATTTGAGAAGACGTTTTTGGTTCTATTGTGCACAGTAAACAGTAAAGTTTTAGAGAGATCGGACAAAAATGGGATCTAAGGTTGGATATGGTTTCGAACTTCCTTTTTTTTTCTTTGTTTTTTTTTTCTCCAGTCAGCTGTTAAATAAATGGTGCTGCTCATGAGTTTGTGCCTAACTCTGTGTGTGCTTTTTTTTCACCAATCAAATGAACCAAATTTAACCTCCAAGCTTAAATAAAAGTGACCTAACCAACAACGAGCTGGTGAGATATGACGAAGGACTGAATAGCTGTTCTCGTTATTGTGACATATCATTTGCAAGATTGAAGTAGTAAATTTTTAAGTGGATTCATTGATCCACATAATTTTATAGGATTGGGAGAGCAATTTGTTCCATGCCATCTAGATGATGGATGATTGTTTCACTGATATTCGCTTTTGTTGCACAAAGTATACAATGTCCAAAAGTTCCTCTTTCCAACACCAATAGTTTACATTGCCGACGACGACCTCAAACACAACACCAACAGATCCACTGCTTTGAGCTCCGATTGGCCGACAGTGGAATCGCTTGGTGCCTTCATCTCTCTTCTTCATTGCCTATTATACCGGCGAGATCGTGGCGGTTGTCAAGTCCGAGAAGAACGTTGAGACCTTCTGCGGCCAAGTAGCCGCCATCATAGTTAATGAGGGCGACGTCGGAACAGCCATCGCCGAAACGGAAGACGAACTCGACCAAACCAAATCGAAGGCCTCTTGTTCATCGTCAGATTTGATTCACCGGTGCGATTCATCCCGCCGTAGCTTCCGCTGCCTCCTTGTGTTTGTATATACATATATGTGTATATAAAGTATTGGAAGGGTGAAGGGGCGGCTGGTGTTGGCGCGGCAAGAGAATGCAGATGTTGTCTCGCCACCACCGTACTCATCCTTCACCGGATAATTTCACTGCCGGAGTATAAAGAGAGAGAGGAGGGGTAATTACAGGAAGGAGTAATATATATATATATATATATATATATATATATATATATTTGCACAGATGGGTATATGTGTCTATATCGGTGTATAGAGAGAGAAAGGAGAAGGTCAATTAGGTCATTTAACTGTTTTTGATATTTTGTTATTAAAATTAATCAAATGATGTAGGGCAAATTAGACCTTTCACACGTTTTTAGGCTATGTTTGGCTGTCAAATTTAACAAGGGGGTGTCATTGTCCAAAAATTGAATAAGTTTCATCTGGGTGTCCTTTTGGCAAACCTCAGGGGGTGTTAGTGTACTTTACCCTATTTTTTTTTTATCTTTAATGATATATGTGGCATAATTAATGATTAATTATTTGGTTTCATAGCATATATGAATTGTGTAATTATACTTGTTATTGAAATTATATACATAATTATGCATGTGCCTGGTGTTATAAATTGTTACAAATTGTTGCATAATATGTATACGATATGTTTTGATTCATTTGGAAAAACTGAATCATATATTGCAATTCTAAGCACAAGTGTCATTAAGTTTGATTAAGTGTTTAGTCACTAACGTGACACACTCGTGAAAATTTTAATGATATTTGTAACTAGTGGCAAAATTATTATTTTGTTAAAGTTAAATGATTGTGTTGGCGTTTAGTAGAGATGAGCAATGATCAAGCCCAAATTAAGGTGGGTCATTGAGTTTGTCCAACTAAGCAAATTAAAGTAATTAGTGTAGAAGACGCGAGATGACTCATTACGCCCAAAGGAGTATAAGTTATTATTGTATTTTCTATGATTAATTAGCTTCAATACTGAAAATTATTTCATTAGTGGGAGACTAATATATAATAATTTTGGCTCAAATGAAAGATTATTATATGCTATTTTGATCCCATTCAGAGTTGATTGTTTTGAAGCAATATTTAATTAATTTTGGAAAGTTTAGTTGACTTTCCCATCAATTAAACTGTAAATTTGTGGCCTCAGTTATTCTCAAAGTCGGTGGGAGTAAAATTCATTTTTAGTGTTAAATGTGGAGGACAAACCTAAATAAATCTTGTGAAATTCTTGAATAGTCACAAAGAACCTACTTAGATAGAGTTCTAAAAGTACCTGACATGTAACACTATAAAGGTGAAATTGCATACATTGTAAAAGTTAGAAATTTGGTAATCCAATTACCAATAAAATATCTATAGTAGTATTAGGTAAAAGACATTTTCTTTGTATTTGGGAATCTAATTTATGCTCAGGTTTTGTATATGGTTAACTATAATATAGCATTTGCTATCGTAAAGTTAGGCAGATATCACAGTGATCCTAGTTTGGATCTATAGTAAGCGCCAAAGAAATTTATTAGGTATCTGCAAAGAATTAAGAATCATATGTTTTATAATAAGACCAATAGGTTTGGGGTGATGGAAAAATTGACTTTGCTGGTTGTCAGAACAGTATATAAATCCACTTCAAGTATTATTTTTTTTTACTATTATGACAAGTGATAGAAGCGGATTTTATTTGCATGTTATAAGGCCACGTTTCATGCATTATAAAATATTAGTTTTGGACTTCAAATCAATAATTTCGCTATAGCCTTGTATTAAAGAAATAATAAGAATTCAAGTTGGTCTAAAATATGATTATTAATACCTTGTTGTGAAATAGAGAATTTAGAACCAGTTAATGTTTATTGAGCACATTAGTACATAACAAAAGATTGTTGATCCCATGACTAAGGGTTTGCCACTAATGTTGTATAGTAAGCATATATATTTTTCTTTGACAACATTAATTTACTTAGTTAGTGGGAAGTTATATTTGGCTAAGGTAAAGACAGTTTTATTTTGTGATCACAGTTATTATCCTCATTTATTAGATTTTCCATATTAGTGCACATGTGTATGGAAAATTTATGACACAAGTGTCCAATTTTGAGACACAGTGTGTCCTTATTGAGACACGGTAGAACCGATGCATGACATGAATATTGTGTTAAATATATGCAAATATGGTATATATGTGACTTTGGAGTTGAGTTTGTTAGTATCAGTGACCATTGGTGTCTTATATCACTATTGAAATAATGACGCCATTGATCCCATATTAGTAGACTCAAAGGTACTACAAATTGAATGATAGAGGTGTTTCTTATAAATATATAGATTTACTTCTAAAGTACACTTATGATTATTTTGATCTTGAAGTGATTAAAATTAATTATTGTTAGACTAAGTGGGAGAATGTAAGCAAAATAATAGTCTAACTATAATTAATTATTATTCTATTATCCATATATTTAATAGAGGTGTGTTATATCATATTATTAACTCTTAAAGGTGCTTTCAATTTCAATGAATAGTCACTTATGTGTGTACGTGTGTGTGTGTATATGTGTGTGTGTGTGTGTGAAAAGTTGTGTCGGCTGATAAAACCAACACATCTCTTCACGTATAAGTGAAATGGTCCCAACCCTCACTATATAAGTGAATGAAAGCCTGGAGTTCATCATTTAGTTTTGCAGACATAGGAGAGGGTTAAAGATCGTTTCCGTTATAGTTATCTCCAAATTGAGTTTCTGTATCTGGTATGTTTTCTTCTTATCAAGTTTATGCATTTAGATCCACGAATCCTATTTGGGTGTATATATCATGCCATGTACATAGGTTTTGTGGTATGTACACCAAAAAATGTTCTAATCCCATGAACACCCAAAAATGACACTGATGCTTGTCCAACACATTCATGGTAAAACTTTCTTGTAGAGATGCATATGCATGCATATTATATATATAGGGTGATACGTGATGATTAATTGATATCATTCTTAAATCGATACCACTAAGAGAGACCTCTATCACTATATAATGCTGACATTGAATGGTTTCATGCCAATAATTTAAATTAATAAATAATATTGGCCTCATTTCTTATTCATTGGACATGTATGTAATTTTCAAAAACACATACTAAATCATGGAGAATCATTCAATGCCAATTTTTAAAACTCAACTTTTCAAAATTTATTATGTTCGCGCCGTATCTATCTTAATTGATTGCCAAAAGAATATCTTTTAAATATATATAACCAATCTTAATCGATTGCCAAAAGAATATCTTTTAAATATATATAACCGACAAGAATGAATATTACATACGTGTGTGTACATATCTATGTGCATGAAACAATGAGTTATTTCATATATATATCTTCAATTACTCTTTTCTGTGTTACAGTTTAAATAGTAATTCCATCACCAATGGAATTTATTACACTGATATATAAATAACAGTACTCTGGAAGAAAACTTATTACAATCTAATCCAATATTATCGAAGCCTAATAACATCTTTAAGCAATTTTTTATTTTATTTTATTTTTAATCTCTTTGGATCTCATGCATTGAACTTCAAAGTATCATAATCAGACTACTATATATATGAAAATAAGGCACTCACAAACAGAGAGTCTCTCTGTCACAAAGTCCATATATGTGTATCACAGACAACTATAAAAGTGTCTTGGCCTCTTTGGTTACAATATATATATTTTACTATGTGCAGATAAAATATATATTACACGTGAAATTGTATTAACTGATACTTATCTAATCCATTTGGATATATGTAATTTGCAGGAAATTTAAGAGTAATAACTTTATTTTTCACACACATATTGGGTACTAGTGTTAACAAACTTATGAAAATAACTTAGAAAAACGGTAATTGTGTGCAAATAATTAAAATTGGGAATCGAATACTCCTTCACTTCCTTTCATTCAACTATTATTATAGTAATATAATTACTACCTACCTTATTAAGTCGAACTCAAGAAAAAACTAGGATAAAATAATGATCTTGAAACAAATGCCAAACAAAAGAGTTGGCCAAAATCAAGGTCATGTTTGGTGGTGTTCTTATTTTTATGAAAGTGTTTTAAAGCAATACACATTGTGTTGCATTGTTGTCAAGAAAAATACAAAGCGTGTATGGTGATGTAAAAAATGTTGCACTAAAAAACAAAACAAAAGGAAGCAAAACACGTTTGGCATAGTAAAATTTCCTTTCAATGACTTCTGACTTAAATTGGTGGCATTCTTACAAAAATTCTTGTTTTTCTTCGTCTTCTTCTTTGATATTAAATGATAGAACATGTCTTGTAGTGTGGAGAGAGATGCAAGTCTTTATTAGAGAAATTATTAGGTAGTTCCGGGACCAACTCATCAGCTCATCTATGGGTCCCTGACGTCGTCAACGCCATTAGCGTTTCGCGAATCATCTTCAACAACAAGTACTGTTTCGCTCGCGTCTTCGCATGTGAAGGCGAAGGCCGGATGTTAGGTTGTTGGCAGCTGTAGTGAATTTCCCAAATTGATCCGTTTTCGTCACCGGCAGTGAATGTGGAGACGATTTTTACTTGGCAATGAGCTGTAAATTTGCTTAGATGGCTAGGATTGCCCGAAAAATAGATGAGGTGGTGGTCCTGGAACTACCTAATAATTTCTCCATTAAGATGTGCTGTTGAAAGACTTGGATTTCTTTCTCCCTCTTTGAATCCTCAAAATGGGCCTCCCTAGATATTTTACCCGTTGAATAAATATAGTCCACACAAAAGGATAATTGATGACATAAACATTTCATGTGATCATTATTTTTTTAATAGAAAATAAAGCAGATTGGATAATTTGCAAGTCTTTACAAAAATATATGATGTTATGTATGGCACTATCGAATTGGCATATTGGATTTGTGATTAGAAAAAAATTAGTACATATTTTGAATTAAATTTCTTTCGATTTCGGATATAAGGCACCAATTCGATACTTCCGGACATAATATAGAGTTATTTGCTTAAATAATACAGGAGGTTATTTGAAGTCACAGCCCAAGGGAAGATGTTGAGTTTTGTTATGCCTCTTACTTTTTACGGTTTTAATTTGTAAATCCAATGATGCCTCTGCCTCTTGTAGGTATAAGAAGAGATAGCAGATATATACAAGAAAATATTTTGTAGACTGCGTATTAGTGTTAATGAAAATGCTATCATGGGTGACAAAAAACAAAAAACAAAAAACAAAAAATAAAAAATAAAAATGCTATCATGGGCTAGAGGAAATGTAAACAAAATTTGTCATTATCTATGCAAAAATGCATGCCCTAACTCCTTTTTGTTTTTTTAGATTCTTGAATTTTAACCGACTTCTTATTATTAAATTTACAATTCATCTCACAAATTCACTTAATTTAATTATACTTGGCACGTTCTGATTGAGACTTGCATAATACTTGTTTAGAAATATTGAATTGACATTTAAAATTAAAAAAAAAAAAAAAAATTTAATTAAAAATTTAAGCTAAGTTTTCTTCTATGAATCCAATTATTATTATGAATCGAATTATTCACAATATGTTTGGAAGACAAAAAGAAATCATTCGTCGAGGTCTCTTTCCCAATATGATTGGTTGATAAAAACTTAGGTCCTATTTAAATATATTGAGCACTTAAAAATGTTAGGCCAGCAGTCACATGGAAGACTTTTCAAATAGGACTATATACACATGTAGACATAAATTGCTTAGAGCATCTCCAATGCTAAATGCTATTTTTGCATGTCAAATCTATATTTTGACAGGTGCTACAGTGCCAATATGCTACATTTGAGCAATTCTGCTCAAATATGTGGTGTATTTCATGCAAAATGCTATTTTTTAACTCAACCACCATTCTTTTTCAACAATCATTCCCACCATTCATATTTGCATTAATAATATTAATATTAGGCACATTACACGTCAAGTTGTAGACATTAGAAGGAAACTAAAATTAAGCCTAATTAAAAAGAAGTACAAAATCAAAAATATTTGGTCAAAAAAGGACCAAAAAAAACAAATTTTTTATAATTTTTTTACCACTATTTGTGAATTAATTTTTTTATATAATTTTTTTTCTTTTTCGGAAATTTATATATATATATATTTATATTATTATTAAAAATATATATATTTTTAGGGCAAATCATTTCAGCCTCCCCAATCGCCTCCATCTCTATTCTTGTTCTCAACTTTAAAATTGCCCCCCTCTCCCTCTCTCTCTCTGTGCAACTGCAAACTACAAAATCAATAAGAATCAGAAGTTCAAAACCCATAGTGCAAATATTTTTAGGGCAAATCATTTCAGCCTCCCCAATCACCTCCATCTCTATTCTCTCGCTCCCCCCCCCCCCCCCCCCTTCTTTCTGTGCAACTGCAAACTACAAAATCAACAAGAATCTTCTCGTTCAAAACCCATATTGCAATAGACAAGGGGAGAGAGAGAAGAATCCGTTCCCAACCAAGAAAAACCAAAGTCAGGCCAGCTTCGCAAGAGAGGGTTACTGAGGACGTGAGAAGGAACGGCGACGTAGGATTGGAGGAGATGAAGATTTGATCTAACGTCCAGGAACCGTCAAGATCGAAATTGAGGTCCATCAGTAACCCTCTTTTAATCATCGATTTTCTTCCTCTGGTTCAGATCGGATGATTTTTCCAGAATTTTTCTCTCTATATTGCAACAAACAAGGAGAGAGAGAGAGATGCCAGTGGGTGATGATTGATGAAAAACGGCATCGTATTGGGAAATGAGAGAGTTGCCAAAAAAAATTATCAGTTGCTATATGTGAGAGAAAATTTGAGAATCTCAGATTTTGAGAACTCAAATAAGAGCTCATTGGAGAGGTCTTTTTTTATCCAACTCTCATATTTTGAGTTTGAGAGGCCCAAATGAGAGAGCATTGGAGTTGCTCTTAGATGAGGGGTTAGGATTGCCCGGAACCATAGATGAGGTGGTGGTCCTGGACTACCTAATAATTTCTCCATTAAAATGTGCTATTGAAAGATTTCTTTCTCCCTCTTTGAATCCTCAAAATGGGCCTCCCTAGATATTTTACTCCCAGAATAAATTTAATCCACACAAAAGGATAATTGATGACATAAACATTTCATGTGACCTAGGACATATATAATTATTTTTTTAATAGAAAATAAAGCAGATTGGATAATTTGCAGCTCTATACAAAAATATATGATGTTATGTTTGGCACTATTGAATTGGTATATTGAATTTGTGATTAAAAAAAAAATTAGTAAGTACTTTGAACTAAGCTTCCTTCAATCTCACATATGAAGCATCAATTCGATATTTCTAGACATAACATGGAGTTATTTGCTGCAATAATAGTTCACAGGAAGTTATTTGAAGTCACAGCCCAAGGGACGATGTTGAGTTTTGTTATGCCTCTCACTTTTTATGGTTTTAATTTGTTAATCCTATGATGCCTCTTGTAGGTATAAGAAGAGAGAGCAGATAAATACAAGAAATTATTTTGTAGACTATTAGTGTTAATGAAAATGCTATCATTGGTGACAAAAAATAAAAAATTAAAATGCTATCATGGGCTAGAGGAAATGTAAACAAAATTTGTCATTATCTATGCAAAAATGCTTGCCCTAACTCCTTTTTTTTAGATTCTTGATTTTTAACCGACTTCTTATTATTAAATTTACAATTCATCTCACAAATTCACTTAATTTAATTATACTTGGCACGATGCGGTTGAGACTTGCATAATACTATGTTGAATTGACGTTTAAAATTGAAAATAAAATTTTTAAATAAAACTTTAAACTAAGTTTTCTTTAATTATATGAATCCAATTATTATCATGAATTGAATTATTCACAAATTTAAGCTAAAAAAATATGGTTTCTGCCCCCTTGCGATTGAAAAAAAAGATTGGAAATAGGGTTAAAAAAAGGGAGGGGAATTTTTGTGAGTAACCCATTAGTGGTTGTTGGAATTGAGCCAATTTTCCAACGCCCACCATTTGGAGTGCTAAAAGGATAATTTTTTTTGGCCAATATCTAGGCGTCGGAACAAGGTCTCAATTTCTTCCACATTATGTTATAGGAGAATATATTCAGTGTGCTTGGTGCACCATCAGAACCGTTCATTTCCGCACGTATAGTTCCCAGACTGCTCTAATGTGTGGTGCACTCGGCACACCGAATACCTTCCCCGATTATAATGGTTGAAACCTATTATTAATAATAACTTATTGCTACGTATTAGTTATGGTTGGGTACTAGTGTTAACAAACTTATGAAAATAATTTAGAAAAACGGCAAATTTATGAAAATAACTTAGAAAAACCGCAAATTTATGAAAATAACTTAGAAAAACACTAATTGTGCACAAATAATTAAAATTGGGAATTGAATACTCCTTCACTTCCTGTGTTTTTTTTTTCATTCAACTATTGTCATAGTAATATAATTACTACCTACCATATTAAGTCGAACTCAAGAAAAAACTAGGATAAAATAATGATCTTGAAACAAAACTTGCCCAACAAAACAGTTGGCCAAAATCAAGGTCATGTTTGGTGGTGTTCTTATCATAAAAGTGTTTTAAAGCAATACACGTTGAGTTGCATTGTTGTCAAGAAAAACACAAAGCGCCTATGGTGATGCAAAAAACTGTTGCACTAAAAAACAAAACAAAAGGAAGCAATAACCCGTTTGACATAGTAAAATTTTCTCTCAATGACTTCTGACTTAAAATGGTGGCATTCTTACAAAAATTCTTTATTTTCTTCGTCTTCTTCTTTGATATTAAATGATAGAACATGTCTTGCAGTGTGGAGAGGGATGCAAGTCTTTATTATAGAAATTATTAGGTAGTTTCCGGACCACTATCTCATCAGCTCATCTATGGGTCCCCGACGTCGTCAATGCCATCGGCGTCTCACGAATCATCTTCAACAACAATTACTGTTTGGCTCGCGTCTTCGCACGTGAAGGCGAAGGTGAAATGTCGGGTTGTTGGTGGCTGCAATGAATGCCCAAATTGATCCCTTTTTGTCGCCGGCGATGAACATGGAGACGATTTTTACTTGGCGATGAGCTGTACTTTGCTTAGATGGGGGCTAGGATTGCCCGGGACCATAGATGGGGTGGTGGTCATGGGACTACCTAATAACTTCTCCATTAAGATGTGCTAGTGAAAGACTTGGATTTCTGTCTCCCTCTTTAGTCCTCAAAATGGACCTCCCTAGATATTTTACACCTAGAATAAATTTAGTCCACACAAAAGGATAATTGATCAATATATGACATAAACATTTCATGTGATCTAGGGCATATATAATTATTTTTTTAATAGAAAATAAAGCAGATTGGATAATTTGCAAGTCTTTAAAAAAATATATGATGCTATGTTTAGCAGTATCGAATTGGCGGCACATTGGATTTGTGATTAGAAAAAAATTAGTACTTACTTTGAACTAAATTTCCTTCAATCTCAGATATAAGGCACCAATTCGATACTTTCAGACATAATATGGGGTTATTTGCCGAAATAATAGTTCACAGGAGGTTATTTGAAGTCACAGCCCAAGGGAAGATGTTGAGTTTTGTTATGCCTCTTACTTTCTACGGTTTTAATTTGTAAATCCTATGATGTCTCTTGTAGGTATAAGAAGGGATAGCAGATAAATACAAGTAAAAATATTGTAGACTGCGTATTAGTGTAACAATGTTAATGAAAATGCTATCATGGGTGATAAAAAATAAAAAATAAAAAATAAAAAATAAAAATGCTATCATGGGCTAAAGGAAATGCAAACAAAATTTGTCATTATCTATGCAAAAATGCTTGCCCTAACTTTTTTTTTTTTTTTTTTTTCTCGTGATTTTTAACTCACTTCTTCTTATTCAATTTATAACTCATCTCACAAATTCACTTAATTTAATTATACTTGGCATGATGATTTGGTTGAGACTTGCATAATACTATGTTTAGGAATATTGAATTGATGTTTAAAATCTAAAATTAAAAAAAAATTAATTAATTAAAACTTTAAATTAAATTTTCTTCATGAATCCAATTATTATTATGAATCGAATTATTCACCATATGTTTGGAAGACAAAAAGAAATCATTCGTCAAGGTCTCTTTCCCAATATGATTGGTTGATAGAAACTTAGGTCCTATTTAAATATATTGAGCACTTAAAAAATGTTAGGCCAGCAGTCACATGGAAGACTTTTCAAATGGGACAATATGCACATGTAGACATAAATTGGAGTGGGGAGCTTCCTTCAATTATGGCAGGTTGAATGAGGAGATGGCTATGAAACAAATGGACACGGAACTTGATCG